CCATTTGGTGATGATTTGTTCAGGTTGTATTTGATTTATCATATATATTCATCATGACATTGTAAGGACAAGTGAAATTCCCAATTAATATTTGACTTTTGGACTTAGTTTCTAAGAGGATATAATTACATTTGCTAGGTTGTGAAGAGTTTATCCTAATGGTGATTTGATAGAATGCATTTTTTTTCACTCCAGTATAAATTTGTTTTGTCTTTTAGCCTTGCCCATATTCTTAAAAAGGTTATGGGAATTGCATGTCCATGAGAAGGATGTGATTGGCCTAACTCACCATCCTCTTATAGTAAAAGATTGCACCATGAAGCCAACTTGTAAGCTATGTTATTTTCATCTCTGTAAAAACCTGATTTCGATGACACCACTAGTAATCAGAGACTCAAAAGTTATTTGGCACAACAACACTAAACAAAGGACTTAATGAGAACCCCAAAACAGCCTCAATTACCATACAAAGAACCAAGACATTTTCACAAGCCTTCAAATTTTTGTTTTATTTTTTTGTCTGTTACTGTTACATTCATAACCAATGATCACTGTATCTATCAAGAACGTTATTACATTTTCCTAATCTTCTTCTAAATACTCTCTAAACCTTCTCACCACCATTATCATCATCTTCGTCTTTAACAAACAAGTACACAAGAAGAACAAGTAATGGATAACTAACAGTAGTGAGTGACCAGTTTATAATAAGCTGTGACATTAATGGAACTTTACGAGTATCCACTTGCCAAGCCACTGCAGCTCCTGCACTCTGCACTCCTTTGTAGAAACCACTGTACCTACTCAAAGTCTGTGAATCATCAGCTAATGCACCAATCAACCAATAAACCATACTCTGATACATCGCATCTAACAATCCATAACTCATATACAACACGAATGGTCCGGCGAATTCTTTGCCTGAATCTTTAAAGTCAAGTTTCTTCTCTGGTAGATTGTTAAACGAATAAGCATGCTGATTCGCTAACCCTCCTGCCCAAATCGCTGTTCCGATCACCGCGACTAGCGATATTCCGGCGAATCCTCTAGCTCTTCGGCTTTTGAAACTGAAATCCATTATATAACCAATTGCAATCGAACCAACCATTTGAGCTCCCCAATAAAAGACATTGTTGAATCCTCTGGTTCTTAAGTTAAAGAGAAGTCCATTCACATTGTTGAACTGATAACTGTAGAAGAAATTACTAGCCCAAGCAGCTGGAACAATGAGGAGCATTTTCCGATCAAGGAATAGCCGGAGCACTGCGGCGAATTCAGTCGACGGTTTTGAGTATTTCACGGCGGAACATTTAGATCCGTCGTTACGGATCACGGAAGTCGCCGGGAGGATACCGAACGAGAGGAGAACTCCGGCGAACATGAAACACATGAAAGCTATGTACGTCGCGTCGTTGACCGACGCGGCGGAGCTACGGTGGTAATTTAGTATAAACGGGATCAAACCGCCGATTACTCCGCCGAGATTGAATATACTCCAGAACAGAGCGATGTAAGTGCCTTTCCGATGCGGAGGAGGGTATGACGTCATCACAGCACCTTCTCCGGCCCATAGAAGTCCGGCGCCGCAGCCAAGTAAAGCTCCGGCGACGATCGCGAAGGCTTGGTGGTGGTGATGGTTGTAGTAGAGGAAAGATCCGGCGTAGAGTACGTAAGTGGAGCATCCTGCAGCTAACGTGAACCGTGGACCGAGAACGTTGTAAAACGCACCGCCTAAAACGCCGAAAACGGTAAAAGCGGTGTAAACGGCGGTGTTAGCGTTGTTAGCTGCGGTTGGATCGACTTGACCACCGCCTCCCATGCCGGAGAGAGCGTTGAACATTCCTGGACAACAGAAACAGACAAAACCCATTAAACTCACTTGAGTTAAAGGAGAATTGAATCTCCATCTTCTTCTTCTCTCCGGTAACTTTTTT